CAGGGGGTGGTCGACTGTGTTGAAAGCCGGGGAGAGGTCAAGGAGCAGGAGCATTGAATAGTGGCCATTAGCTTTGGCGGTTAGCAGGTCGTTGGAGAGTTTAAATAAGGCAGTTTCGGTGGATGTGTAGGGGACGGATGACGGACTGTAGGGGGTCGAGGAGGTTGTTGTCGTTGAGGTAGGAGCTTAGGCGATTGTAGACTAAGCGCTCAAGGAGTTTGGATGTGAATGGCAGCAGGTAGGTCGGTCTAAGGTTGTTCAGGTCAGTAGGGTCCAGGGAGGGCTTTTTAAGTATGGGAGTGATGTGTGCGTGCTTCAGAGGGGAGAGGAATGCGTCAGAAGAGAGGGAGAGATTAAAGATGTGGGTGAGGGAGCATAGGATGGAGGAGGAGGGAGGTCATAGGAGTTGTGAAGGGACAAGGTCGAGGGGGCAGGTGGTGAGGCGGGCTTCAGAGAAGACCTTGGTGACCTCCTCAGTGGTAGTAAGGTCGAAGGAGTGGAGTGTTGAGGGGGCTTCAGTGTGAGGGATGTTAGGTGGGGTGGAGGTCTGAACAGTGGTGAGGCTGAGGGAGAGGGGTGATGAGGGGGTTGCTGTGTGAGAGGAGATAGGTGGGGAGGAAGTTTGAGCAGTGGCGATGTCCCTGTGAATTGTGTCAATCTTGTTTTTGAAGTGATTAGCAATCTCGAGGGCGGTGAGTGAGGTGCTGGGTGGAGGTGGGGGTGGAGAGAGTAGAGAGTTGAAGGTAGAGAAGAACCGGTGAGGATTGGAGGAGAGGGTATTGATGAGGGTCAGGAAGTAGGCTTGTTTGGCAGCGTGGAGGGAGGAGGTGTAGGTGTGGAAGGCAGATTTATAGCAGGTGAATGCTAGTTGGGATCTGGTTTTGCGCCATAGTCGCTCCAGCGTACGACTGCGTCGTTTGAGAGTTTTGGTACGATCAGTCTGCCAGGGCTGTCGTAAAGTTGATCAGCTGTAGAGTAGAGGGGGGCAGGGTTCAGGTTGCGGAGGTTTCGGATGGTAATAGTTTGACATTTTGGAGGGGTAGGCGTTTGAGGACGAAGAGACAGAGAAGATAATAAGGTTGTGGTCAGAGAGAGGGAAGGGGGTGTTTGTGAGGTTGTGGGGAGCGCAGAGATGGGAGAAGACAAGGACCAGGATGTTCCCGTCGGAGTGGGTGGTGGATTGTATGCACTGTGCAAGTGCAAAAGAGGAGGTTAAGTGGAGGAGTTGGGATGTGGCCGGGCTGTTGATGTTGACAGGGATGTTGAAGTCTCCAAGGATGATGGTGGGTAGCTTGGAGGAGAGAAAGAAGGGTAGCCAGGCGGAAAAGTCATCAAGGAAGCGGGATACGGGTCCAGGAGGCCGGTAGATTGCAGCAATCCTCGGGGGGGGGGGGGGGGGGGGGTTGGAGAGAATAGTCGGATGCAGTGGGCCTAGAAGGAGGAGAAGGATAGAGAGGGGGGGTTTTGGAGGACTCGGAAAGGTGCTCAGTGGTGAAAGGAGCAGACCAACCCCACCACCCTTACGACCGTTGGGTCTGGGTGAGTGGGTCCAGATGAGACCTCCATAAGAGAGTGCAGCAGGGGAAGTAGAGTCAGTGGCCTGAATCCAGGTTTCCGTGATCGCTAGGAGGTTGAGGGAGCGGGAAACAAAGAGGTCGTGGATGACGGTGAGCTTGTTGCACACCGAACGGGCGTTCAGGAGTGCACACGAAAACGGGGGGGGGGGGGTGGTTTTGGGGAGCAGGGGGACAGATACTAGGTTGAGGGGGTTGCGGCAGGACGTGGAAGTGGGAGGGTGCCTTGTGGGTGAGCGAGGTGATGGAGGGCCAGGCTTCGGGGAGATGTCCCCCGCGGTTAGGAGGAGAAGAAGGGTGAGAAAGGTGGCATGGGAGCGGGATGTGCAGGAGCGTGTAAGTCTACCAGTGGAGGTGTTCGGGTCAGTGGGAGAGTGGAGTATTAGGAGGAGCTGGTGGGTGCCGTAGAGGGGTGAAGGGAGCAGTGAGGGCACAATATACAGTTGTTTGGGAGGAGCAGAGGGATATAGGGAAGAGATTTTGGGAACAGAGGAGAGGAATATGAGGAGGAGAAGTGGAAGAGGCATTTTAATGAGGTACACGGGATGGCAAATAGGTGTGGTGGGAGGTTTGGTTGTAGATAGTCAGCGGTATCTGCAGAGTTTCATCTGTTCATCTACAAGTGAACTTTACCAAAGTGATATTTTATTACCATAATTAAATTATTTTTTTTTGTGGCTCCTTTGCATGGCAATAAGGTACATCACTCTGCCATTTTGCAAGCATATTTTTTGGCTTAGGTGTGTTTTTTGCGCAGTCCATTGTTTGTTCAATCCCTTATGAAAGCAACCTTTGCCCTTGCTGGTCCTGCCTTAGTACCAGCCATTGCAGCCATATCCATTTGTTAGTCAGTAACTGAAATAAGCAAATAAATAGAGAACACAATCATGTCTTTGAGAACCCTGTTGAGGTGGAACAATTGAAGCTCATGCACTGCTATTTTATGCTGCTGCTCCAGAGTTTGTGCTTCATCAGGTTGCTTGGATGACACTGCTCTCTTTTGTGCAGAATTTTGTGATTAAAGGCTTGGTTGGCAGAACCTGCTTGAATAAGACTTTTACACATGCCTTTTGAAGGTGAATGCCTGTTTGGGGGAATCCCTTGATAAGTGTATCAAGGGCATTGTGGGGGGGGGGGGAGGCTTTTTAACCCAAAGAAATCTTTCTAAGCCTACTACTACCATGACTTGTTCCTGTATCCAACAAAAGGGGGCCTTTCACCCCACCCAAGCATCCTCCTCTAAGGAGAAAGTGGATCTGTCAGGAATCAAGGAGTGACCAGAAAGGTGTGGACTGACACAGGGAAACGCAGGTTTCAGGTATAGTATAATACAGGTTATTATTAGCCACCCAGATATATATATAAACGCACAGTGAGCAAACTAACCTTCCACTAATCTAGGAGGTGCAGGAACACAGGCGTAGTCAGGGCTGGAGAGGTGGAATGGTCAGGCCGGCCGTAGGGCTGTAACGACTGCCTGGTGGTACCTCTAGCGGTCCTCAGGGCAGGATTCCCCAGGGCGCGGAGTCTAAGTCCCAGTCTGCTATTCACCAGGGCCCCTGATGGTGGGGATGGACTTGGAGCAGACAGGAACCAGGTCGCGGCCCCTGAGTACACCTGCTAGTGATAGAGGGATCCGCCAGAGGTATGTGCAGGTACAGCTGGATCCGTGCAGGATGGATGGATGGCAGAGTAGTGAGCGTGGTCAGACGGGCCAAGTCAGCAACGTGCGGGCAGCAAGGTATCAAAGGAGCAGGCAGAGAATGGTCAAGGTCACAAGCCGGGTTCAGTAACTCACGGACAGCGCAGTACAGAGGATCAGGCAGAAGGATGGTCAGGGATGAGCCAGTAGTCAGAACAGGAGACGGTCAACAGGAATCAGAATCAGGCAGGGTCGGCAACAAGGTATCTTCTCACAGGAACAGGATACAGGGGCTCATGGGGAAACATACACCAAGGCCCAGAGCACAGGCCTGGTCATGCCTTATATACACCTTTCTGTAATCAGCCCCAGGTTTGGCTGATTGTGAGCTTCTGGCTGCTAAGAGCACCCGCTGGTCAGCTCTGGTACTGCAGCCCACACGGCAGGAGAGTCCCACCACCAGTGCTGAGAGCACCCGCTGGTCAGCTCTGGTACTGCAGCCCACACGGCAGGAGAGTCCCACCACCAGTGCTGAGAGCACCCGCTGGTCAGCTCTGGTACTGCAGCCCACACGGCAGGAGAGTCCCACCACCAGTGCTGAATCCATTCCTGACAGGATCAATCCTTTAGTCATAAGCCATGGACTCCAAAACTATCCAAGACTACCCAGAAGATCTCTTCACAATGAAGAAGCTCCCTCACTCCCCATAGTGGAGGGAGCCTTTTTTGCATGTGAATCAGTATAGATAAGAGACCTCCCGGACCTCTGGATCCAATCTGTTATTTCCAAGGGCTACATAATACAATTTTTATCCCTGCTCTCTCTCCTTAATTCCTAACATCCAGTATGCCAGCTTTGCCCCAAAGACAAGCGGATTTGTGGACAGCCCTGAGTCATCTTAAGGTACATGGAGTGGTAATCCCAGTTTCTGTGGAGGAAAGGTTTAAAGGGTTTTGCTCAAAATGTTTTATTTTCCAAAACCGAATGGGGCTTGAGCTGGAGTCTACAATTCCCTAGCTGTCCAGAGAACCTGGTCCCCACAGAAGGCAGTACTTCTCCATCAACATTCTGCAACTGTGAGCCATAAGAATGATTCACTAACACTCTACCCCTCTCCTACACAGTCACCCAGTCAGATTTCAGTCTGACAATGCCACAGAAGTGGCGTACAGAAACAACCAAGGAAGTGCCATGGTGCCAAACATTGGGCATTCCTGAAGGAAAAAAAGCCTGATTATCTCCACAGTAGAAAACACATTCCAACCCTCTCTGCTTTCCTCATGCTGGGAAATTGTCAAGCTGACTTCCTGACTGGCCAACTCCTGAACTCAGGGAAGTGGGCTCTCTATCTGTAGATGCTGCTGATCCTCTGTCAGAAATGGAGAACACCCAATATGAACATCAAAAAAACTAGATAGATTTGTGGCCAGGTCAAGGAATCAACTGACTCTCGAGTTGGATGCTCTGATGATTGCTTGGTTCATGTTAAGACTGATGTATGTATTCCCTCCAGTAAGGATTCCTCTTTGACTACTCTGCAAAATAGATAAAAAGCAGATTTCAGTGATTCTTATTACAACCAGTTGGCCTAGGACAGTGGTTCTCAACCTTTCTAATGCCGCGACCCCTTAATACAGTTCCTCATGTTGTGGTGACCCCCAACCATAAAATTATTTTCGTTGCTACTTCATAACTGTAATTTTGCAGTGGGAGGAGTAGTGCCACATCATTGGTGTCAGTGGAAGGAGTAGTGCCCCATCACTGATGTCAGTGGGATGAATAGTGCCCCATCATTGGTATCAGTGGGAGGAATAGTGCCCCATCACTGGTGTCAGTGGGAGGAATAGTGCCCCATCACTGGTGTCAGTGGGAGGAATAGTGCCCCATCACTGGTGTCAGTGGGAGGAATAGTGCCCCATCACTGGTGTCAGTGGGAGGAATAGTGCCCCATCACTGGTGTCAGTGGGAGGAATAGTGCCCCATCGTTGGTATCAGTGGGAGGAATAGTGCCCCATCGTTGGTGTCAGTGGGAGGAATAGTGCCCCATCGTTGGTGTCAGTGGGAGGAATAGTGCCCCATCGTTGGTATCAGTGGGAGGAATAGTGCCCCATCGTTGGTATCAGTGGGAGGAATAGTGCCCCATCGTTGGTGTCAGTGGGAGGAATAGTGCCCCATCATTGGTGTCAGTGGGAGGAATAGTGCCCCATCATTGGTGTCAGTGGGAGGAATAGTGCCCCATCACTGGTGTCAGTGGGGGGAGTAGTGCCCCATCATTGGTGTCAGTGGGGGGAGTAGTGCCCCATCACTGGTGTCAGTGGGGGGAGTAGTGCCCCATCACTGGTGTCGGTGGGGGGAGTAGTGCCCCATCACTGGTGTCGGTGGGAGGAGTAGTGTCCCATCATTGGTGTCGGTGGGAGGAGTAGTGCCCTATCATTGGTGTCAGTGGGGGGAGTAGTGCCCCATCATTGGTGTCAGTGGGGGGAGTAGTAGTGCCCCATCATTGGTGTCAGTGGGAGGAATAGTGCTCCATCACTGGTGTCAGTGGGGGGAGTAGTGCCCCATCACTGGTGTCAGTGGGGGGAGTAGTGCCCCATCACTGGTGTCAGTGGGAGTAGTGCCCCATCACTGGTGTCAGTGGGAGGAATAGTGCCACATCATTGGTGTCAGTGGGAGGAATAGTGCCCCATCATTGGTGTCAGTGGGAGGAATAGTGCCCCATCATTGGTGTCAGTGGGAGGAATAGTGTCCCATCATTGGTGTCAGTGGGAGGAATAGTGCCCCATCATTGATGTCAGTGTGGTGGAGGGGAGAATAGTGCCCCATCATCATTGGGGTCAGGGGGGGGGGGGGGGGGAAATAGTGTCCCATCGTTGGTGTCAGTGGGGGGAGGAATAGTGCCCCATCATTGGTGTCAGTGGGAGGAATAGTGCCCCATCATTGATGTCAGTGTGGTGGAGGGGAGAATAGTGCCCCATCATTGGGGTCAGGGGGGGGGGGAAATAGTGTCCCATCGTTGGTGTCAGTGGGGGGGGAAATAGTGTCCCATCGTTGGTGTCAGTGGGGGGAGGAATAGTGCCCCATCGTTGGTGTCAGTGGGAGGAGGAATAGTGCCCCATCGTTGGTGTCAGTGGGGGGAGGAATAGTGCCCCATCGTTGGTATTAGTGACAGCCTGGGCTCGCTCTCTCACTTACCTGTCAGCTGTCTTCCTTCTCTGGCCGCTCTCCTCTTCACTCGCTCCGGCAGCTCCCTCGATCTTCTTTGATGTACGCGCGCTGCCGCTCGGCTCCTCCTCTCCAAGCTCCACCTCCTCGCCGGTGATTGGCCGCCTGTGTGCCTCTCCTGAGCTACAGTTCCGGTGGCCAATCAGCGGCGAGGAGGCGGAGCTGCTGAGCGATCCCGGAGGTGTGGCCAGGTGACAGGAGCAGCGTATCATCCCGCCCACACATCGCCGGAGAGAGGAGCGGTGTCTCGGTTCCTAAGACCATCGGAAATATGTGTTTTCCGATGGTCTTAGGCGACCCCTGAAAAATGGTCGTTCGACCCCCATAGGGGTCGCGACCCCCAGGTTGAGAACCGCTGGCCTAGGAGAACTTAGTACACAGACTCCTGGCAGTGCCTAGACCTCTTCCAAACAGTCCAGATCTCCTGTCACAAGGTCCTTTGTGCCATTCTGCTTCTTAGCTTTCTGTCTTTAGTAGCAGGGCTGTTAAAACCCAGGTCATAAAAGATAGGGACATTTCTGACACTGTCACCGACTTTATTCAAGCTGTGAAAAACTACCTCTAATAGGATCTACCATCGTGCCTTGAAGGCATTCTTTTGCTGATGCAAAACCAGGCATCTCAACGCCCAGAAATATAGATCATTCCTTAGGGTCCCTCTTTGTCCTCCCTGGAGGTCCCAAGAAGGGACATCTTGCTTCCTCTTCCACCATGGGTAGTGGTGCTGGGTGGCCTAGGCAGCTAATTTCCAGAGCTTATGCCATCAAGGAAAGGGTTCCTCCCTTCCCTATGAATGCCTATTCAACCAAATCTGTCAAAGATTCTTAGGCTTTTCAGCATCAAGCATCCATTTCACAGGCTTGCAAGGACACCACTAGGTCCTTTGTTTATACTTTCCCAAAGTTTTAAAGAGTGGATCGCCAGGCCTCTGCTCATATGTGTTTCAGCCACAAGGTTCTTCAAGCTGTCATCTGAATGTTTCAGGTTTGCTGACCATTGTTTTCTGTAGGCCTGCCTACAGCTGTTTGCTAGGTTTTTTCACACCAGCCAGTTTGTTGCTTGGGGACGTACCATCGTCTATGACTACAAGTCCTGCACTGTACGATTAAGATAATGAGAATTTTGACTTACCTGTAAATTTTATATCTTTTTGAGTACAATAAGGTCTCAGTGTCTCCATATTTTGTGCTACATAACTGGAGTTCCACGGAGTGGATGGGGTAATATGATGGTGCACTGAGGACAATCCAAATGACAGTGAAGGTAGTGTTGACCAGGGGTGGACTGACAACTCATGGGGCCCCCGGGCAATAGCGGATCATGGGGCCCCTGTGTCCTTGCCCAAACTCAAAAAAGCCTATGAAAAAGGTACCAGGGGCATCTCATGGGGCCCCTTACTGACCCCGGCCCTCGGGCAGTGCCCGAGTTTCCAACTGGTCAGTCCACCCCTGGTGTTGAACAGCCCATGGTCTATGACTACAAGTCCTATGTTCAGTACTGCACCCCAACATAAGGAGTTTATTCCTGTTTTCAGCAACAATTTAAAATAAACTATTTAAAACGCTAAAATAATTTATGAAATGGAGTAGTACTTGTTATATCAAAAAGCTGTCAGGTTGTACATGATAAAAAGAACATTAAGTCCATTTTTTTTAAATTGTGGGTTTTTTTTTATGAAGAAGTGGAGTTACTTCAAACCAGTTGTCAGTCATATTCAGACCTGGTTGTGAAGAACATGTTGATACATCAGGCCCATAAATTGCCATTCTTGTACACCATTGCTCAGGAGTGCACAAGCTTTGTCATCATCATTCCACTTTCTTTAGCTCAATGCACCTCAGTCACTACAGATCAGCTGCTGACACTGCAGATGTTACTGTGTAACCAATAAAGGTTTGACAATGATGAGTAAGATTGTCACCTGGACAGGAAGTAAAGGAAACTTTCTTAAATGTTGCCACAGACAGCAGGAAACAAAACCTGACAAGAATGTTTAACTGTTGCTTGCTTTAACCAAAAAAGGGGTAATGAAATGATTGTCAAAAAGTAGTTAAAGGGTAAGTGTACTCTCAAAGCTCTTACACACCCTGCCTAACCCCCTGATCTAAACTACACAATCCTCTCCACCCCCAACTAATTACATATGTAAATACTTCAGCCTGTACAATGTTCATATGTTTCTAGTGACTCTAGCCCATATCTTTCTTCCCACTGGTGCAGTCTCAGCAGCAAGATGTAATGTTCATGTAAGCAAGCAACTGGGGCTTCAATAGTTTTATAGAAAATCGACACAGTGGGTGGGTGTACTTTGTCTAAAAGGACATTTAGCCTTTAAATCTAAGGCTCCATGCACACTGGGCGTTTTAATAACACTGGTAACGTTAGCTGTGTAAAGTCATGTCAAAAACGTGAGTTTTTCTGCGTTTTGTAGTGTTTTTGCATTAGCGTTTAGAGGCTTTTTGCAGCGTTTTTCTGCGTTTGCGTTTTTATTAGGTTTTTTTCTACCCCACAAAATTTTTTTTTGCTCAAAAAAACGTTTGCAGCATGTAACTGTGTTTTTCACCGTTAGAGCATTTTTACAGCTAAAAAACTCCTTTAGAAACCCACCAGTCGCGTTTTTTTTACCAGCCAAAAAACGCCCCTGCCAAAAAACATTGATTACAGTCTATGTGTGCATAAACACATAGGATAACATGCTGGGGTGTACTGGCTGTAGAAAAATATGTCAAAAGCCAAAAACAGAAGCTGTAAAACATCCAGTGTGCATGAGGACTCCGTAGTAAAGAGATTTATGGCAGATTTACACCTATCTGTTTTTTTGACAGCTGCATTTTCCATTGAAATAAATGAAAATACATTACCATGTGTGGACATGCATTTTAACACACATTGCAATGCACTCTGTGAACACATTTTGATGCATGTTCGTGCATGTGTTTGCATGTTGATGCACGTTCATAGATCCATATTTCTATGGATATTTCTCAGGCTAGGTTCACATCCGTGCGGGTGGTGCCCCTGCGAATCCACCACCCGCACAGAGAAATGCGGACCCGCGGGCGGGTGCCATTAATTCTAATGGCACGCTGCCCGCATTGGATAATGCAACCGTACTGGGAACCGAGATTCCTGTGTGGGCTGCGTGTTTCAAAGAAGTGCAGGGACTTCTTCCATGCGTGTCACGGGCACGGGAGTCCATTCAAATGAATGGGCTCTCGTGCCCGTGCAAAATGCGGCCCGCGTGGCCGCATAGATGTGAACCGGGGCTAATACCTAGCATCTCCAGCTGCTGATAATTTTGCAGTGACAAAAATTAGCAGCAGTTCTGGCAGCTGAAGTGTGCCTGGAGCTGCTGACCGGTAAGTATTACATGGCTTGTAGTAGCCACTAGGGCAGTGGTTCTTAACCTTTTTGGAGGTACTGAACCCCACCAGTTTCATATGCGCATTCACCGAACCCTTCTTAATTGGAAAAATAAAATATGATTTTTAAAATTCAAAACATAGGTATATATTTATACATAGGTGCACAAAATGAACAAAACCATTAAGAACAAAACCATTAAAACATGATTTTCACACAAAAACAAAATAATGAATATTTACCGCAAATAACAGTGTGACTTCTGCTGTTGTCTTTCAGAGGCCAGTTCAGAAATGCGCGGCATTACCTTGGCAACAAAGTCTGTTCCTTTTCTTCGTCTTTATGTCCAGCATCCTCGAAAAGGATTGCTCGCAAAGATATGTTGTAACAAACGGTATGAAAATTCATCCCCCATAGTAATT